GGTGCCTTGTAAGAAGAAATTTGTTTCTCACAGTCTGGAGGCTTGAAATCCAAGATCAGGGCACCGGCACGGTCCAGTGAGGGCCCATGTCGAGGTCACGGACTTCCCGCTGTGTCCTCACATGGCAGAAGGGGCAGAGGATCTCTCTGGGGTCTCTTTTCTAAGGGCATTAACCCCGTTCATGTGGGCTCCACCCTCAGGACCGAATCACCCCTCAAAGGCCGCGCCTCCTAATACCACACATTGGGGGTTAGGATTCCAACATGGATTTTGGGGGGATGCAGACAGTCCACAGCATGGTCCTGTGTGCTGCAGGCACAGGTCGGGACTTTGGGACAAGGCCTGGGAGCCTTCTGAGGGTTCTTTATCGCCAAACCTTGGCATGACAGAACAGGATACTGAGGAACAGAAGGGGACAGATGGCAGCCAGGGCGAGAACATGGGTCTTTTGGCCCCTGGGTTTTTCTGGGCCCCAGAACCATGCTGCCTGAAATGGCGCCCTTGCTGTGTGTTGAGCATTTGAACTGAGTGAAGGAGGAGCAGCCTGATGTCTTGTGTCCTTTCTTTTCTAGGTGAATCTTCCAAAATGTGGCAGCTGTTGACCACTCTCAGCTGCCTTGTGGTGCTGACCAGTGCCCGGAACAGGCCAAACTTCCCGCCCCTGTCAGACGAGCTGGTCAACTATGTTAACAAGCGGAACACTACATGGAAGGTGGGCTGTGGGGGCTGTTTTCCTGCGTGTGTTCCCTCCAAGGGTCGGTCTGTACACCCTGACTCCCAGCAGAGGTGGCCGTAGCTGCGGCCCATAGGACAGTTTGTCCTGGACAGCTGACAATCCGATTCAGAGTCACAGCCGCTCAGGACCATACCTACCTCCTCTCTGCCCCCTCGGGGGCGTGTGTGCGTGTATCTGTGGCACGTATATGAGTGTGCATGGAAGTGCACGGGGATCAACAAGCTGGGTACTCTCTGAGCCCCTCCGTGGTAGGTGTTAGGGCTCATCAGTACTAGCGGCTCCTTGATTCTGCCCAGCCCTGAGGCCTGGGACTGCGGAAACCAGGAAACGAGGAATAGGCCACGGTCAGGGCTGCGGGAGGAGGGTCTCTCCTGACATCTGCAAATGGTAGCAGATCAGAGAAGACACCCACTGATGTAAGAGCTGCACACTGCCTGTGAGCTCCCTCTGGGCCGGTCCCAGCCTGCTCTACAGAGTGCTATCATGAAATACCATACATTGGGTAGCTCATAACAAATTTATTGCTTGCAGTTCTGGAAGCTGGAAATATAGGATCAGGGTGCTAGCATGGTTGGGTTCTGCTGAGGGCCTTCTCAGGTTGCACATGGTCGACTGTGTCTGTCGTCATGTGGCAAGGTGGGGCAAAAGAGCACTCTGGGGTCTCCTTTATGGGGGCACTGATCCCACTCATGAGGGCTCCACCCTTAAGACCTAAGCACCTCCCAGAGGCCTCACCTCCAGATACCATCACATTTCGGGTTGGGCTTCAACATAAATTCTGGGGAACACAAACATTTGGTCTATAGCAGTACCCCACCCGCCTTGCTCTGTTGAGTTGGGAGGGATACCTGGCCTTGTCAGGCCTCGCGTGTGGGCGGCATGCACATTCACATCCCCCATCCCTGGAACACCCCCTCCGTGGGGGGCGGTGACCACTGTGGCTGGGTTCTCTTCCAGGCTGGACACAACTTCCACAATGTAGACCTGAGCTATGTGAAGAGGCTGTGTGGCACCATTCTGGGTGGGCCCAAGCTGCCCCAAAGGTGAGTGCCCGCTCCCCAGGATGAGAGCTGCAGGTGTTTTTTTGGGACAGTGACGAGGAGGGACGGGAGAAGGCCTCCCTGGCTTCTGCACGTTTCACTCCCCCAAGAGCTGCAGGGACTGTACTTAAGATGCAGGGCTCAGTCCCAAGTGCCAGTGTTTCCTGCTGTGCTTCTCCCGGTGGCTCAGAGCCCCAGTGGGAAAGGCCCCAGTCTGGGTCTCCATGATTGGTTGGGCCCAGTGGTTGAATAATTTAAGGAAAAGCCAAGAAAAGCCATATGATATGGCATTATGTTTTATTCTTCTAGAAAACTCTGCAATGGACATTTTTATGTAGACATATTATTTTTGTAGGAAGCATTTAAAAAATCTAAGAATGAGAATGGGTTAGTTACGTTAGGGGACATCACACAGCGGGGAAGATATTTAATACGATGTGAACAGCCTGGGCAGACGTTTATGATTGGGGGTGGGGTGGAGGAAGCAGGAAACTCAATTATCTCTTAAACTCTTAAAGAATATGCATAAAATGAATCTAGAAATAAGCATATGGAATGACAAGCTGTGCTGAGCAATTGAATCAAGTTTTGTTTTCTAAAATTTCAAGGGGACATTCCTACAGACATCTCTTCTGTGTGTCGTGTGCCTCACTCCCTTTCTGAGTGACAGTCCACAGTCAGCTGGCCTTTGCAGGGATGCAGTGGGGTGGGCGGTGCAGGTGTTAAGATGTGAGCTCGTAATGGAGAGAGACCTTCCTTTGTCCAGAGTTTGGCTTGCTGAGGACCTAGTTCTGCCTGAAAGCTTCGATGCCCGGGAACAGTGGCCAAACTGCCCGACCATCAAGGAAATCAGAGACCAGGGTTCCTGTGGCTCCTGCTGGGTGAGGCCCTGCTGGTGGGAAGGGCTAGAGTGGAGTGGGCGCAAGGGGGCTGGGAGTGACCAGGGGAGTGGGGGTCAGACCGGTTGTGACTCAGCATGTTACGTAAACTTCCCGAGTCTCAGTTGTCATAACTATAAACATAGTAAAGTTCCTCATGACCCTGAGTTATTGCAAGGACTAGGTGGAAGGATAAAGGTGTAGCGCGCCTTGCACAGGGCACATCCGTATGTGGGTTTGTTGAAGTGTTTTTCTCTGTTTGACGTGCTGTCCTAGGCCATCGGCAAATACTTACTAGCTTTAATTCCTACTCTGCATCATGAAGATACAGCCATTCTATATCAATGAGCTGTCTTAATTTTGTTTGTTTTTTAACTGTGGTAAAATGTAAATAACATAAATTAAACTATCTTAATCATTTTTAAGTGTACAGTTCAGCGGCATTAAGTACACTCACATTATTTTGCAGCCATCACCACCATCCATCCGCAGAGCTCTTGTCATCTTGCAAAAATAAAACAACATCCCATTAAACACTAGCCCCCTATCCTCCCTCCCCCCAGCAAGTACCCTTCTACTTTCCGTCTCTATGATTTCGACTAGTCTGAATATCTCATAGAAGTGAAATCAGAGTGTTTGTCCTTTGCGTGAGCTGTGTTTTCAGGTTAACAATCAAAACCACGTTACTGTATTATGGAGCT